CTCCTCCTCCTCCTCCTCCTCCTCCTCCTCCTCCTCCTCCTCCTCCTTGCAGGAACTGGGCATGTCTAGTGAAGTCTAGTAAAGAGAAGGACGAGGAGAGACATGATAGCAGTGTTCCAATATTTGAGGGGCTGCCACAGAAAGGAAGTGATGAAAATATTTTCTAAAGCACCTGAAAGCCAGACAAGGAATAATGGATGGAAACCGAACAAGGAGAGATTTAACCTGGAAATAAGGAGAAACTTTCTGACAGTGAGAACAATCAATCAATGGAACAGCTTGTCCTCGGAAGTTGTGCCATCACTTGAGACTTTCAAAAAGAGATTGGACTCCCATCTGTCAGAAATGGTGTAGGGTCTCCTGCTTGGGTGGGGTGTGTGTGGACTAGATGATCTACAAGGTCCCTACCAACTCTGATTATCTGTTATCTGTTAACTTCTGTTGCACTGCATCACTCCTTTAAAGTTGATTAAAACCAAAAGGCAATGAAGCTATTAATACATACAGTTCAAGCAAATATTGTACTGTTATCATTTCAAAGAAACAATGGATTGAAATTAATCAAGGAGAGAAGCAACCTGGAATTAAGGAGAAACTTCATAACAGTGAGGACAATTAACAGTGAAATAGCTTTCCTTCATTTGGGTGCTTCACCATTGGGTTTTTGTTGTTTTTTAAAAAAAGACTGAACAGTCACCTGTCTAATATGTGATAGGGTTTAGCTTAAGCTGGAGGTTGAATTAGAAGACCTTCAAGGCCCCTTCTAGCTCTATTCTGATTGGTTTTTCTGGTCTGTTAAGATGGCAAAACAGACTCAAGCATTGCAAAGCAAAAATATTGACCACAAAAGAATTATTAAGCTAAAAAAAATTATGTCTGTCTTCTGCATGATATTTGCAAATGGTAAATAAATTAGAAAATATAAGACTTTGTAACCCAGGGTTGTCTTCTTAATGTTTTGTTGCTCGTGTGACAAATAATTCCAAGGTGTATGCTTTTTCTAGGTAATGATGAACCCAGCAGTGGCAAAATCATATCTTGGCAATAATTTGCATAATGTTTTTTTCATCATGAAATAGGAATGAAAGTTTAAATCAGAATATATACTCAAAAGTGGCACTAAAAACTTAAAAGACAAGTTGTTGCTTTTCATTTTCTGAATAAGCCAATTCCCTGTTCTTATAACAGGCTATTAAGGACTCTTGGCTTCATAATACTTTATTGTAGTGTGAACTTTGCTGATAAAATAGCAAAATGACCAGAGTTTAAAAGATCAGTTACATTTGCTTGCCTTGCTATTGCTATCAAATTTTGAAAAGTGACCATCTTTAGTTCTGCTGAAAAGCAAAACACTTTGAGTCTTGTAATGGAAAAGACACCTTTAGTTATCAGCTATATTTTAGCTGTGGCTTTATCTATACAAAATGGTTTCTTTCTCTGCTAATTGAAGCATACAGCAGCAACCTGTCATAAAATACTAACACAAAAGTGAGTTTTCCCTCTCAGTTTTTGTTATTTCCATTCTATTAAAATTGTTATTTTTATAGACCCAAATGAGAGTTCAATCAGTCTATAGAAAACTTTGTGGATATAGTTGGGTCCCCAAAGTTACTCCTTTATTGTGCTATAATTGCCATCATCCACACATCAAGTAATGAGAACATTTTTAAAATAAATCTGAAAAGCAAAAGATAAAATCGCCTATTCCACCAATAGGAAAAATCTATAAATAATGACTATAAAGTGAAGAAAGAAAACCTGATACTTTATAGAGATTGAAAACAATGTGAAAAAAAAGAAACTAAGTAGAAAAAGGTATATATAAGAAAGATATGAAGTTAATTCAGCCCTTAAACTCATCATTAAATCTGGACTATATGTTAACATACTGTTTATATGTATAATCTATATTTATATGTATATTAACATTTTCTCATTTTCAGAGCATAGAGACTTTTCAAAATTTAACTTCTAAATCTGTTTGATAAAATCAGGATATTACATAAGTTTGAGAGCCTATTTGGTGTAATGGTAAGGTCTTCAGATTAGAAATCATGATACTGTGAGTTATAATTATAGTTCTGCTTTAAGCATGAAGTCACCAGTGTAATCTTGGATCAGTCACTTTTACTAAATCCTAGGAAGGAAGCAATGGCAAACATTTTTGGAAAAAAAAACTTGCCAAGAAAAATGCAGGACTTCTCTGGGCAGTTTCTGAGAATTGGACACAATTGAACAGTTTTTTTTTTTTAAATAAATAAATAAATAAATAAAATTATTCTCTTTCTTCCAAACTTAAAACCAAAGCTCTTTGGGAGATGACAAATTTCCTGATTTTGGAAATATTGTTTGAGATTACACTGAGAATCTTGACTATATTTCTTTCCAAAATTGTATTAACATATGTAGTAATTTGAAATCAAAACAAGGGAGCATTTGGACAAGACCAAATCTTATGATCAAATTAGACCAAATCAAAACCAATTTTCAAGTTTCTTAGATTGACATCTAATCCCCTTTTAAATATTCTTTGAGAGGTAAACATGACAGAATATTTTCTTATTTTTACATGTTAAAAAGAGTACTTTACAAAATTTAATACCAAGACTCATTGATTCCTTTTTTTTAAAGCATTTTATTAATTTTCAATAAACAAACATACACAAACAAAACACAAAACATAAAAACATAAAACTTCTTTTTGGAAAGCGGCCTAGTCCCGGGTTACATCTTTTGGTACAGACATAAATCAAAATCATGCTCACTTTATATACCATTTCATATCTTATTTACCATTCTATATTTTCTGTATGGCTTCTCCCCTCTTTTCACTCTCTTAATTCTATTTTATTTATTTCATCTCAATTTAGATCATTATGCTGATATCTTTTGTCCGTTCTGTAATCATCTATTTTTCTTTTCTTATTAACACAATATTTCTCCTGTAATCACTAATTGAAGTATGACGCTTTTATATCTTTCCCCTAAATTTAACACTTAAAATAATATATAATTCTCATTCTGATTCTGCTTAGCACATTCTAAAACTACCTACTACATTTTAAGATAAAAAAATAATAAATTTATAATATAGTTAAAACAATAATCCATAGTATATTAAACTTTATCATTTATGCATTTTAGTATTTTGTTAAATCATATAAAGATCCAATTTTCTAGCATTATTTCAAATAAAGATACAAAAATACAATCTTATGTACTTTTGCAGAATCTCTTTTGTAATCCTAGTCTTTTTACCCCCCACCCCCAATCTCTTAATCTCCACCCTCTTGGTCTCCACTCTCTTCTGTAAACACAAACTATTTCATTTAGCCTTTCTTCTTTTTAAACTTTCTCTTCCTGGGGTCTATCTTTCCCCTAGATTTAACACTTAAAATAATGTATAATTTCCATTCTGATTCTGCTTAGTACATTCTACATACATTTTAAAATAAGAAAATAATACGTTTATAATATAGTTAAAACAATAATCCAAAGCAAATTAAATTCTATCATTAAATCTTAAACATTTTACATATTCCCTTTAATATTTTATTAAATCATATAATGTTCCAATTTTCTAACTATTTCAAATGCAATACTACAATGCAATCTTATGTGCTCTTGCAGAATCTCTTTTTAATTTATATTTTACCCTTTATCTCTGAAAAAGATCTGTTTTTTTACATCTTGTTTCAAGCCTTTGTGACTTCTCTTCCCTTTTTCCTTTCCTTTCTTGTCCAATCTAGCCTTTTTACCCCCCCTCCATCTCTTAGTCTCCACCCTCTTAATCTCCCCTCTCTGTTGTATTCCTCTTTTCTGTTGCTTTCTGACATTGTATTGATTTTTCACCTTATTTTCCCTTTTTTTTGGTTGTTTTTTTAAGTCTTGGATTCTCCATTCTCTTTCCCTTCTTTCCCTTTTCTTCCTCAACTAAAGTTATTTGTTCATTAAAGATGGCTTCTTCTTCTTCATCCCAGCTTTCTTGTTGTAATTCCTGGTAGGTAGAAATCGCCATTTCCAAAAAGTGGAAAACAGATCCAGAAGAGCCTTTCCCTTCTTGTTCCTCTTCTCTTAACTTTTGAAATTCCATTTTCAATTCTTCAACAGATAATGCCATTGTGAAATTTTTTAAACAACCCAAAAGTTATTAGTCTTTCAAAAAATAGTTTCCAAAAGTCCCAAAGTCACCAAGCAACCCTAATCAATACAAACTGTTTCATTTAGCACTTTCTTCTTTTTGTACTTTCTCTTCTTGGGGTAGAATCAATTGCAAAGTTCCAAAATGTATTTTTTTGAAGTCTTATTACAGTTTATCTCTAGTCTTATAAGCTCCAAGCAATCTCCTCCAGCAAAGTCTTAATATAAGTTCTTTATCTCTCCCTTCCCATTTATAGCAAAAAAAGAATTTTTAAATCTTTGATTCCAGTGTTCAGAAATCTTTAATACCCCCTTGGTTTTATTTTTCAAATTTAATTACCTTCTGTTGCCAAGACGGGTTTTTCCGATTTCCTTCTGCTATTTCCATAGGGAAGGAGAGTGAGAAGGAAAAAAAAACTTTCCCTTTTAACTTTCTTTCGCCGCTTTTTTATGATCTTCTTAGGGAACAATGTATCTTAAAAGAGTTGAATTTCCAGGGTATTTAGATGTTACTTGTTATCCCGGTTCAGCCAAAAACTTTCACTTTCTCTGCTTCCTCCTGCACAGTCTTGTCTGAGTGAAAGTTTCTTTGTGGCAGCCATTGCTGAACGCCGCTCCACCGCTTTTGGAGAAAGGAGTTCAACCAGCTGAGGAGGGAGGTTGCAATCCCCCTGAACCCCTGCTGGGCCTCCTCTATCTTCAGTCACCTCTACGGGGTGACTATTAACCCCCAAATCCAGCTGGATCCAGGGCACGCCAGCAGTGAGCGCAGCAAGAACCACGCACAATCGCGGATTCCTGCTGCCGCCGAAGCCTTTCAAACTGGAAGTCTGACTCATTGATTCCTTAAGACTGGATATTCCAATTATTAATTCTATAATTCAGATATATAGCTACTTTTAATTCCAGTTTATCTGTAGCAATAGCTGTAAGATCAATCTCCAGGCAGAAGTTGCCAAATGTCTATTTTTTATAAATCCAGATTGAAATAGATGAATTATAGATAGCATTACTGTCTGTAGTTTCTAGCTAGTGTTCAGTAAATATTATAGTGTTCATATTAAGCAGGTCTGTTAACTTATAGATTGCACACATTATGGTGTTTTTCTGAATATTAAATGTTTCTATATTATATCTTCTTATATATTTATTTTATAAAATTTGGATAAACCGGCAACAATGTGTCAATGAACATTCTTCCGGTGGCAGGACAGGGACGTGCAGAGGTGGAGAAGACTGCTGTGGTTTTCTGTTACCTTCTCTAGCGTCTGGAGCGATCCCCAGGGGATACACAAACCCCGGAGAGGTTCGTGTCAGTATAGGAGAATCTCGAGTTACAGGGTGGGGGTAGGCAACCCCCTGGTAACGAAGAGAAGAGCTCCTGAGCCCAGCGTGGAAGAGCTAGCTGCCAGTTTATGGCGGCTCCAAAGTCCGGTCTGCCACTGAGGTGACTAAGCAAGATAGTGACAGCCTGCAAGATCGGAGCAGGAAAAGGTGTTGAAAGAGCTTAATACAATATTGAAGATTGAAGATTGAAGAATGACAGTGGGGTGAGAGATTTATCTTCCTGGTTGTGAGTAGCACTTTGTGGAAGCAGGAGAGAAAAGCGGCCAGAAAAGCAGCTTGAAAAGCGGAAGTGTGACAATCACGAGCAGAAAGGCTCGTTAGAAAAAAAAATGTGGATTACAGCTTTTGAAAGGGAAACCCCTGGGGAGAGAGGAAGAACATCAGAAACCAGGAGATTGGAGACTTGAATTTGTGAGTGATTTGGCATTTGGGATTAACTTTTTGACAATATTTGAGAGGAAGGAGGTGACAGAGGAGGAAAAATTGCGGCACTGAAAGTGACTTATTAATTCTCTGAATTGAGTTCAATAGGATTATTGGCTTTATTTAATACAGCTGGGAGGACAGATTGTTAAGCGACCAAGAAGAGATGACTATTGGATTTTGGAGGGAATAATAGGTGAAGGAGATTTGCACATTGAACTCAAAACCGGGAAGGGGAAAGAAGGAAGAGGAAGAGGGAAGAAGAGACCAACAGAAGGCTGGGAAGGATTGACTTCTTATTGCGATTAATCAGCACATTATACCATTCGCTCCCCGGAGTGCTGGGAAGAAACTCAAAACTCAAACCTTTAGCTTGAAGACTGACTATAAAGTTTATTTTATATTTTTTCTCTTATCACATTTCTTTATTTGTTGGAATTTCTATTTGGTAATACTTTAATATTACCATTTGGGCACTATTTTTACAATTTGAACCTCTAGCCCCTTGCTTATTGACTGCCTCAAATCAAGGTAAACTTTTCCCTCTTCTCTTCCCCCATTGTTTCAGTCTTTCTCCTTCCTATCTTAATCCCTTAAAAAGCCCGATAAATTTACCTACTTAAAAGGAGGAAAAAAAAAAAAGGTATATTGTCCTTATAGATTTCAGTGACAATTGATTTGATTGTCTTAAATAGTAACAACAAAGAGTGAAAAATAGTGTTGATTTAGATTATTTAGAATACTTAAGATTAA